TAAAACATATGAAGAATGGCTACAGGAACTGGGTATGTCTAGTTTAATAGAAAGAAGGACTAGGGGAGACATGATAGCATCTTCCAATATCTCAGGGGTTGCCACAGAGAACAGGGAGTCAAGCTATTCTCCAAGCAATGGGTGGAAACTAATCCAGGAGAGAAGCAACTTAGAACTGAGGTGAAATTTCCTGACAGCGAGAACAGAAGTTGCCTCCAGAAGTTGTGAATGCCCCAACACTGGAAGTCTTTGTTGGATAGACATTTGTCTGAGGTGGTGTAGGGTTTCCTGTCTAGGCAGGGGGTTGGACTAGAAGACCTCCAAGGTCCCTTCCAACTCTGCTATTGTATAGTATTGACCTTCCGGGGGCCATGTGGGGGGCATGGCCAGCTCGACCCATCGAGGCTCTGTTTTTGGTCGCATGGGTGGCCCTCCCGAGCTCTGTTTTCACTGGCAGCGGGATGTAGGAGACCATCGCGGTCAAAAACAGAGCCCGGAAGGGCCACATGCGGTCTTGATCTATGGTTATTCTCTGAAACTTCCCTAATCTGGTAGATTCCTGATGTTTTCAGAATTCCTGGGAATTCTGGGAGTTGGTACACACACCTGAAGAAAGTTCAGGCAGATCATTCTGGGGTGTAAAGAGAAAATCCTTATCCCATATACAATTCATGGCTCAACCGTGATGCCTCTGAAAATATGGAAGTACTTGACTGACTGTTTCTGCATGGCTCAGCTACCCTTCTGTTGTTCTCTACTACTTGTGATTGTATAGCTTTGCTACCTAGAACAATGTGGACTCTGTGGATTCGTCATTATAGTTGTAAGTTGAGGACTGCCTGTAAACATTCTTTCTATCCCTGCAACAAATCTGCCCAGGGAGGCCAGCACTACTATTACTGAGATCTAGATAAGATTACTGTAGCAGTTGGTGAGAAATTGCCACGTTCTTCACATTTTTCAAACCAACCTTTTCCTCCGGGCCTTGACTTAGAGGCCTGGGTTTGAGACATCACTGGATCTGCTTTTGGCAGAAACAAAAAAGGAATTGCACTTTTAAAACACTCTTCTTTTAGGAAACGACTTTGATTAAAAAATTATTGTAGTTATCTAATTAGGACATAGAGCAATTTCTGCAAAAACTGTAGTTTTGATCTGAGTGGGTAGGTTACCTGGGATCTATTTTGTCAGGGTATAAGACGTCAGGAAAGATTTCTTAAACCTGAGAACTCCATTTTGCCAGGTTTGAAATGCATCCGAGGAATTCTGCAAGGTTTTCCTTCCTGCCAATGTTGGGTCCTTTCTTAACTGTGATAAACTGATAATGTAAGAGATTGCTTTATAAATGTCCCCTGCATCCTTTAAGACGGGGACTTTGAGTCTTCCTTGGCAGAGAAGTGAGGATTTCCCATAGAAAATCAGAGGATGTTGCAGTCATTGTTATTGGGCGTTGTGTACCAGTTTCATAATGAAAGGTAGCAGACAGACCAGAAATCTATGCTTATTCTAATTGGGGGTCATAGTTCATGCCAGAAAAGAAAGGAGGGGCTTGTCTCCTCTTGTAAACGATTTAAAAATTACTCCACACATTTGTATGAGTGTATTTTGAGAGCCTTGGAAACTGAGCACGATCCTTTTCTCCCATTCTTTCAATAAATTAGCAAATAGCACATGAAATGCATCCTTCCCTCTCGCTTGCCTGGAGTCTTTAGGCCTGCCATGTATAATGTTTCTCTTCTTTCTCTAAATCTATGTGGAGGCTAATGAGCCACAGCATTCATGGCTGTGTATTTGTCCAATCAGGTGTGCCCAGGTACCTCTTTGGACTTGCCCCTAGTCTGGACTTAAGAACAACACTTGCAGTTCTCTGCATCCCATCAATTGCAAGCATTTCTGAGATGGCATCTTCCAGGCTTGTTAGGCTGTAGTTCCCATGCTGAGAGTAACATTACGAGGATTCTAATCCGACATGCCTGGAAAATACTAGAAAGCCCACGGATTCATTTTTATTTTATTTTTTGCTTTGGAACATAAGCGATGCTGATCTAAAAAGACAGAACATAGAATATCAGGAACCTTGGAGGTCTTCTAGTTGAAGCCCCTGCTCAAGTAGGAGACCCTATACATTAGTGGTCTCCAACCTTGGCAACTTTAAGACCTGTGGACTTCAAGTCTTGAAGTCCACAAGTCTTAAAGTTGCCAAGGTTGGAGACCACTGCTATACATCATTTCAGGCAAGTGGCTGTCCAATCTCTTCTTCAAAATACCAAAATCCAATTCTGGTCTAGAATTTGGGTGGTGTGAATGGTATGGATCTGTAAACACTTCCCAATACATTTACTGGGTTCATTAATGCCCGATCAACATTTGGTTTCCTAATGTCTTTTATTTGCTGAAGTCTCGTATCATAGTTTTATTTGTTTGCAATTTCAGTTACCTGGCTGTTCTTTGTACTTTCCCGTTAATCACTTGTGAGCTGTAGGGGAAGCTGTTAACCCGGTTTTCCTCTTCTCTCTTTCTTTTTGAAGCCGCGTGATTAAGACGGACATGGAGTTGGAAGTCCTCCGCTACACCAATAAAATTTCCAGTGAAGCTCATAAAGAGGTAATGGATCTCTTGCAGTAATAATTTTTTTTTGCTTCTTTGTGTAACATCACTTTTTTTTCCTTCAGAAAAATGTTCTCAGCTACTTGAATTGCCTAGTAATGGGGTAATGAAGAACTTGGATAAAAATTGGAGATAATGTTCTTCCTAATAGAGCCACACAATACATCTTGCATTGCCCTTGAACTCACTGTTGATGTGCGGAGAACAAAATGGCTCCACTTAGGAGATCAGACCATTCTGAGAAAGCGAGAAAGGATTGGCTTTGCTCAGCACCACACAAAGCTTTTCTAGGATGCCAGTGAAGGCTGCTCCCCGGCCTCTTTCTTCTGCGGCCGTTCTCTCTGATCGTTTTTTAGCTGGGTGCTTTGATCACCTCTAGAGCTTTCTGAGTCAGCTGGATGATACAGAGACATTTAGACGTGCAATTTTCTTGGATATTCAAGAGGGAGCGCTGGAAGGAGAATTGCACTGACCTCGTTGTTGCAATATAATGGGGAAAAGTCAGAAGGAATCTCCTGGTTTTTAACTGCTCCTAGATTTCCCTGGATGCAGGCTGCTTCCTCTGCAGACAGTTGAATCATCCTCATGTCTGTAGCTCTAGTCAGCTGAAGAGGGGAAAATTCTGCTTTTAAGGTTCTCCCAGGATCCCGCTGATGTCTTCAGTTTTGTCTTATTCCAAAATCATTTCAGGGAGCATCAAAGGAACCAGCATCAATATGTGGACAGGATAGTTGGGGAAATTTATTTATTTTTGTTCCCAGTTCTCATCCCAATCCTGGCCATCATCCCATCATTTGCAAATTGTGCTCACTTCAGTAGGGAAGCACAATTTTATTGAGTTTCCTAGTATGATTTGATTGCTTAGTTAGGATCCTGTGACGATCACTAAGTGTTGTATCTTATGATTCTTGATGAATGTATTTTTTTAATGTACCCTGAGAGCTTATGCACCAAAGACAAATTCCTTGTGTGTCCAATCACACTTGGCCAAAAAAGAATTCTATTCCATTCCATTCCATTGTACTGTACTCTACTCCAGTGTTTCTCAACCTTGTCAACTTGAAGATATCCAGACTTCAACTCCCAGAATTCCCCAGCCAGCATTCGCTGGC